TGAATATTCAAATGGCAATTCAAAATAGACAATGATATTATGTCTTGGTTATAAGTATTTTACTATCCATGTCATGCATGTGTGTCAAGTTGAAGAGTTGTTTTGCTTTTCAGTCGGCATCACATCACATGTACTGTAGTCTATATACACAGGGAAAATAAACATAAAACTCCGTTGCTTATTTTATCTCTTATAGTTTCTGTCAACAGATTTCTACTATTTTTTTTGCTGAGCTGTAAAATTGCTGTCAAATTACATCTTATCGATCGATAAAATTGGTATAAAAAAATTTTAGATGAGAAATGTGAACATGGTGGTTTGTTCGATCGTGACCTTTCAATAATTTTTGACATAAGAAACATAGATTTTGCACCAAATATATATCGCCAAATTTTGCACAAATAAGAGGGAGAAAAATGAAATACATTTTCAAAACTTGAGACGAAATAGTTTGGAAAAACTAAATTTTTACCTGAGTTTGTGTCGGCCTTTTCCATACTTCCCCGACGAAAGCAGCCGAAAAGATTAATGAAAACACCACAAAACGCCTTAATTGAAAGGCAAAACTTCCTAACCTGTAAACTATGATAACAACGATGAAACCAAGCTGAAAGGAATCGAAAAATATGTAAAACAAAGGCGAAAAACGGCATATAACTCGGCGAATAGCTTTGTACTACAAAAAATACAAATATTGTTTTTTGCATAATAAGCCTCGTTTCCATGTTGCACGAAGGCGCGGTCAGCCGGTCACTAAGTTTCGCAATTGGTCTGATAACTTTTTCTTCTCTTGTACATAAGCAAAACATACGGTGCCAAAAACATGCATATGTTTTAAGTTGGGTTTATGTCCAGTGAATGCTTCATAGGGGGTCTTCCTAAGTCGATAGTTATAGCGCCTATTCCTTATGTATACTGAACACATGCACGCATATGACCAAAGGCTCTTGGGCAAAGCAGCTTGAATAAGTAAACACCTAGCCATTTCAAAGATCGATTTATTTTATGCTTCAAAAGTAGATTTTGAAAAGGTTGTACTTGCCATCACTTGGGTTACTTTACAATTGTATTTCACAACAAAAAATCGAATCTTATACGGGCTTATATAGCCTACACTCTTAATTAACATATTTACATACTGATCAGTTATATTACGTAACTACATACTCCCCCCCCGATGGGGAGTTCTCCAACAACACATCCAAAATTTATAATAAACATTAGATGTTCAAGCATCTAAAACATAGTACGTTAATCTTCACACTGTTCTAGTAAACTAACTTTAACGATTGGTCTTACTAGAACACCGTCTTTTGTCTTAATTTCAACAGTCCTTATTTTAATGTCTCTTCCTGGGAAGACCTTTGTTACCACGGCAATAGGCCATGATCCTCGAGGTATTCTTTTATCATGTAATAATACCATATCACCAACACGAATATCACGTCTAGTTCGTATCCATTTTTGACGGTGATCGTAACCATTTTTGAAGGTGTAGAGTAGTTAAATATTCCTTAATCCATTAATTCCAGAAATGACTAGGAAGAATTTGTGTCTGTTTCCATCGTTTTCTCGTCAGATTTGCAGTTTCATTCAGGTCGCCACTCGGAATTATAATCGCCGGCTTTTGCAATAGAAAGTGAGCAGGTGTAATTGCTATTGGATCGGTTGCATCTTCACTTGATTTTGTTAAGGGTCGAGAGTTGAGAATCGACTCGACTTCACAAAATAGCGTACGCAATACATGTTCGGTGACTAAAGCTCCATTCAAAACCGCTTTCAATGCTCGCTTTGTCTCCCGCACGAGTCTTTCTCAAACACCAGAAAAGTGTGGTGCACTCGGTGGGTGAAAAATCCAGTTCAGTTCGAATCGCGCCAGCTTCCTGTCAAGACTTCCTTTGCTCCAACTCTCCAACGATGCTCGTAGTTCATTGTCTTGCGCCTCGAAAGTTAGTTCCACAATCGGTACGAATTTGCTTAGGTTTTCCACGGCGAGCCATAAATTGACGCAGTACGTTAATAAAATCATCTGCATTCAGCGACGGTACATTAGGGAGCTTTAGCAGTGACTACGAGTATGACTACGAGTACGAGATTTGTCATTCTCGTGCGTTGTTTGCTTACGCCATCAGTCAAAACTTGCAGTCGCTGAGCTTTTGAGTACGAAATTTATCAAAAAACTCGTACTCAAAAGCTCAACGACTACGAGTTTTGCCTGATGGCGTAAACAAACAACGCACGAGAGTGACGAATCTCGTACTCGTAGTCGTACTCGTAGTCACTGCTAAAGCTCCCTACTTTCAGATGTACTGCACGAGTCGTTAAACATGTGAATATGCAGCCCCATCGTTTCGGTGTCTAGACCTTACTTGTCTAATCAGAAGTGGACCAAACATATCAATTCCACAAAAGGTGAAAGGTGGTTCGTAAGGTGTTACTCTACAAGGTGGTAACGGTTTTGGTAATATTTCTGGAAATTTAGCATCATAAGATATTCGACTCGTACGAGACCGTTCTCTCCAATAAACGGGTTGAATTTTGCAATGCTGCTCGATACTTTGACATTTCTGTTTTCCTTCAGATAATTCATTTCTTCTGGATACGCTTGGGATTGGACTATTCTTAGTATGTCCGTTTCAGCAATCTTCAATTCACCAGGGGTGAATACACTTGCAGGTTTAAAGCTTCTGTCCTTTAGATAATTCTTAAATCTTGTCAACCACACGATTTTTGATTTAAGAGCGTTCCAGGTAGAATATCTTTCCAATAATTCGTAGAGTCGTCTTTCGTCAGTCACTAAAACGTTTGATTGAAGATCTTCTAAGACTTCAGGATCTTCTTCTACGTTCTCCTTTAATTCCGTTAAAGGCCATTGTGACTTCGGTTGTCTTAAGAATGGTGGACCAACCAACCATCGACAATTTGAGGTAAGATCGGCTGGATGTAAACCTCGTGATGCATCGTCACTTGGATTATCCTCGCTTGGACAGTAATGCCATTGATCAGGGTTAGATATTTCTCGAAATTCTGCTACTCGATTCCCGACATACACTGTAAATCGTTTGTAGTCATTGTAGATGTACTTTAGAACCACCTCAGAATCAGTCCAATAGTGAACTTCACTAAATTCGATTCCAATTTCACGTTGAATTCTTTCACTTAGACGGATCGATAACACTGCTGCTTGTAACTCTAATCTGGGAATCGTTATCTTGCGAAGAGGTGCAGTACGGGATTTTCCCAAAACAAACGCACACGTAATTGTTCCATCTCTATACGTTGCACGTATGTATGACACAGCTCCATAGCCAATTGCACTTGCATCAGCGAAGCAATGAAGTTGCATTTCCTCGATAAATCTTTTATTTGCAGGCAACATAACAGACTTAATGCGGCATGTATAACAACGAGGTATCGTGACTTGTGCAAGCGCAGATAAGCCTTCTTTCCACTCTTTCTACTTCCGTAACTCATTGGGCGAAAGTTGTTCGTCCCAACCCAGTTTCGCTTGCCATAATCTCTGCAATAGGGCTTTGACTACCAACGTTATTGGTATAGCGAAGCCAAGTGGATCATACAGGCTCGCAATGGTGGCCAATACTCCTCGTTTTGTTTCAGGATTATCTAGCTTAACAACGCTAAATTTGAATGTATCATCTTCCACCGTCCAATGAAGTCCAATGCTCTCTTCACTGGCAGCTGGTCTAGATCAAGATGAATTTGTCCCCCATTAACGCGCTCCCTTTTTCGACTGATGTACTCGATACCAATGCCTCTTCTAGTGTTATTTATCATCCCTATGTGTTAACGGACTGTCAGTACCGATAGCTGATTGTACAAAAGATATAAAATAGGGCTAGCATCTACTGGGAAAAGAGTTTTTCAACTTATAACGTAAATTAAGACTTCCATCATATGCTGAATAGTATTTTGATGTTCTAAATTACGCAAGTCGCTTTTGGGCGGGAAAATTTCACTGTAAAATATTTAAAACAAATATTAATTAAATTAACTACCGAAGCAATTTAATGAAACACTTTCTCACTTTTTGAGAGCAATTTCGGTACGACGAACTAAAAAAAAACATTTTAAAAACTTGCGCCAGACTTCAGCGAAATCAGTTTACCAACCTGTGAAACGAAATTAGCTAGCGAGAATTTCTAGCTCCGTACTGTTCGCTTTTACACGAAGAAACGACGCAATATATCGGAATTTTTAGGGTAACTTTCCCAATGAAAACGTTTTCCTCACGCTTCTTTTTCAATTCAATCTCAAATTCTCTGAATGCAATAGATTTTAGATACGTGTTTCAGTGGCTTGCTTCGAAATGTATTGATTGCATTGAGTCTGATTGAGTTTGATATCTTTTCCGTGATTGGATTCAAATTTATACTGGTCGTGTAACAGTTCCATTCAGGGACTGAGACGTACAAACCTCATGATTTTTATGTTTGGGGGTCTGAAACTGACGTACAAACCGCGTGGGAAGACTGGGGGCTAGGCTTCATTCAGTTCACTAGTAATGGCTACAAGGATACTTGTAGCTGGCCTTTGAACTTTACCAGGTCCCCCTAAAGCATTAATATAAACTCTAAAGAGATTTTTCGTAACGTCTTGCTATCAAACGTAACCGTAAAACTAACTCGATCTAGGTTTACAAATGTTTTTTTTCAAAAGTGCTACAGAATATATTTTTATTAAAGTGAATCAATACGATATTGACTCAAGATTACATTAAAGTCGTGCAATATTTATAATTTCAAAGATGGGTAAGAGCCATGTGCAACCACGGGCTCCAATTGATAACTCTTTCGCAATTAAAAAAAGTATCTCCTCTCCTTAGGCATTACCTGCAAGAGATTTCCGAGTCTCACTGCATGAGCACTCGCGGCTCTCTAGCTGGCAATAATATTACTAGTTTGTTACCTAAAAGAAATTATTGCTGTTTTGATTGAAATTGTTAAATGCATTCAGTTTTCTCTAAATCTCGTTTTTTACAGTATGATGATCCTAATGCCACAGTCTCGAGTATATTGGATGAATGTAAGCAATTGGTATGTCTGCCCCGTCGATTTACCGTTTGTAACTGGCCACCGGCCTAGCTTTCTTTGCCGTATAACTATATATAATTATACCTGCATGGAAGAAGTGCTCCTCAAATTTCATTATACTTTGTCTACTGTATTCTTGTCCCCTGACGCCAGGTCGACGCCATATGGTGCTTCTTGTTCCTTGTATTTGCCACTGTCCAACATTTCTGAGTTGTAAATTGATACAAATTCACCTCAAAATCACATATTGCCTTGTTTCTTAAGGGAATAGCAGCTGATTTTCCACCGTCAAAGTTGAAAACTGGGTCTGGTGAACAGGTATACGTGTACGCTAGCGTGCATATATATTGCTGATATTTCAATTTTTAAAAAAGTGAAAGGCTATAAAAGCGAATCTCAGCGAGTCATCATCATCATCAACCGTATCCGTAAATATTGTTCCTTTCAAAGCACCATTATTGTGTATTTTTGGCATGCTTTCATAATACTCTAAGGAATGCCTATGATTTGGGAAAAGCACCATTAATGTGGGCATGCAATTTCAAGCGAGAAAAGTATTCAAAGAGGCGTAGACAATGCAAACAAACGCTCATTGTAGGATTAAAGTTTCTGCATATGTTTATTTGCCAAGATAGGAACACATGTAAATTTGGGTTAGTATTCCTTTTCCAAAGAGAATCTACTTTGGAAGAGGAATAATTTGTTTTTGACCATTTTTGAGTTTTTCCGTCTGCTTTATGTCCGCAAAGCGGAACACTTTAACAACGACTCGCATAGCTAACACCAAATCTATTCCTCTTTCCCGCTTATTTGCTTTGGGGACCAGAGTGTTCCGTTTGAAGGGATTCTATAGTAGCTATTTTCCTTGGCAGCATTTCGTTCCGGCGGACGATTTAAAATAAGGAACTATTTGTTCCCGTTCCTTAATCCCTTTGATGTTCCTAATATATATATATATATATATATATATATTTATTTATTTATTTATTTAATCTTAAAACAGTATTAGCTGCTACTTAAAGTTTCATGCTTCTTGCAATCATCAGGCATCTGTTCATAGTTCAGTTCAGTGTGGTGACGCTACTCACTAACGGTTTTTTAACGCACGCGCGTGTCCGTTGGTTTCGTACGCGATCGTGAATTTTCCCGCGTGGAATTTTTCTGCATGGCGGCATTTCGCGAAAAGTTCTGATCTTCGATTAAGGCTTTTCTTTGCCTTTAAAAGGCACAACTTTTCCTCCGTACATAGCCTGCAGTGTTTTCCGCCTGCCGAATAAGCTGGGGCACGCTTTAATATAGACCATTTTATTGTATAGTCCTTCCCAGCGTTCTTTAATTTCCAAACATATTTGGAAAGTTCCGTCTCGTTCTCGTATTGTGGGTTGTTAAACGACTTCTTATGGTTCCCATACCTCTCTTTGAATCTGTTTGCCGTCATGCCGATGTACTCTTTCATGTCTTGACTGTCATTTGTTGTTATCACCGCCTTGTAAACAATGCTTTTCGTTTCGCACTTTCCTTGGAGTGGACATTCGGTGGGCACTCTACATTTACACAATTTCTCGGAATTTTCCGCTGAATTTTCGGTTCTCGCAAGAACGCGTTTATTGTGTTTCGAGATAGAACTCTTGACGTTTTCCATGCAGCTGTAGCTGACCTTGATGGAGTTACGGTTGAAAATCTTGTGTAAAGGGTTGGATTTAGGGAAGTGCTTATCAATGAGGCGAAGAAAGTCCCGAGCAATATTTGAGCGTACGGTTTTACTGAAGGGTGGATTGAACCAGATTATGTTTCTATGCCGTTTCCGTTTCTGCGTAGCAGGTGTTGGAAGATTATCTGGGGAATATTTAAGCTTGTCGTTGTAGTTACTTTGATGTAAAGCTGTTTCGTACACGCTGGCAACCGAGTCAAAGGCTTCTTTACTTGATGACAGGGACGATATTCGTCTGTTGATTGCTGCTGGAAGGTGCTTAGTAATGCAGGGTGGGTGGTTGGAGCGTTTGTCCACGTACAATGGATCATTGTCAGGTTTCCTATATGGCAAGTAGCTCTGGTCTTTAAGGTTAAGGGTCAGGTCGAGGAAGTTCACAAGTTGATGATTCACTTCTACCGTTATTCTCAAGCCGAATTGCTGAAACTGGGCAAATAACTCCTTCCTTGCTCTGCCAACCTACCACTGGTGCTTCTTATCAGGGCCAAACCATCATCACGGTACAGTCCGATGTTAAAATTGTGTTGAGCACTCTTCAATCTACAACTGATAAAAAGCATTTGTTATATATATATATATATATATATATATATATATATATATATATATATATATATATATATATATATATATATATATATATATATATACACCCATTCGCAAAAACGTTGGCCGCAGATAGATAGATAGATAGATACTCGAAGTCTAATTAGAATTGCATATGAATACATTTGCATGGGATTTCAATCATATTACACAACATATGCAATTCTAATTAGATTTCGGGTATCTATCTATATATCTATCTGCGGCCAACGTTTTTGCAAACGGGTGTATATATACATATATATATAGATAGATACTTGAAGTCTAATTAGAATTGCATATGATTACATTTGCATGGAATTTCTATAATATTACACAACATATGCAATTCTAATTAGATCTCGAGTATCTATCTATATATCTGTCTGAGCCAACGTTTTTGCAAATGGGTGTATATATATATATATATATATATATATATATATATATATATATATATATATATATATATATATATATATATACAGCTCTAAACTGTATAGACTCTCGTCAGGTCTAAAATGTGCCAGCTAACTTCGGTCTTATATACTCGTTCGCTACACGTTCTTTAATAAAAGCTTTCCTCCGTGACGGCATTTGTTAGCAAGTTCATTTCTACTGTTTAATGTACCCATATGGGGTTTGCAAATGATAAAAAATTTCTCAGTGATGCATAAATTACATCGCTTGCTTACATTTGTATGCGGTTGTGTTCTGGCGATAATTTTCCATGACAACTTATAGCTGACGCCTTTGTCCTTTTGTTCCCAAATGTGTTTGCTCAGTTACGTCGCATTCATTTTGTTTTTGTCCCTAAACGATGCTAAGTGGTTGGTGTATCTGGTTTTAAACTTGTTCTGCGTTAATCCAATGTATGTTTCTTTTCCGTGTCCGTCTCCACTGTTGCTTGGTAAATTACATTTGTTGTTAAGCATTCTCCGTCCGAAATTTTATATATATATATATATATATATATATATATATATATATATAGGCAAAAATGTTCTTCGTGTTTACTATACTCACCCTTGACGGGCATATTCAAACCTAAGGGGCTGTTTACATGAGCCCGGTTACCCGAGATTCAACGAAGCGTGAGAGGACTTTGAGGTATTGAAATAAGTCTTTATGACACCAAACAAGCACATGCTATTGTTATGGTGATTATACGACTGCCAGGGTCATGTCATCTGCTCATTTCAATACCTCAAAATCATCTCACGCTTCATTGAATCTCGGGTAACCGGGCTCATGTAAACAGCCCCTAAGAATGTAAATTTGTCCCTTTCCCTCACCAGCTCACTCGTTAAGAGTGCCTAGGCCTTGGGACACTCTTAACGAGTGAGCTGGTGAGGGAAAGGGACAAATTTACATTCTTAGGTTTGAATATGCCCGTCAAGAGTATAGTAAACACGGAGAACATTTTTGCCTATGTTATTACCTGTGTTGCAACTCCAAATTTATTTTGGAGCAAATCATGTTCAACAATATAGATTTCAAAACATTTCTAACGGCGAGCAACATTACAAACAAGACACGCCAACGAGCATTACTTTTATACCAAGCAGGACCGCGAGTACGGGAAATCTTTCGACACTTTCCAGACCCTGGTAACGACGACGACATCGATAAAGCGACGGAACTTCTCACCGAATACTTCGAGCCTCAAAAAAATCGATTATTCGAAGTCTACAAATTTCGACAAGCAAACCAGAGCGACACGGAAACGATAGATCAATACCACACGCGTCTACGAACACTGTCAAAAAACTGTGAGTTTTCAGATGTAGAGTACGAAATTATGGTACAAATTATTATTGGAGGAAAGTCAAGTCGCGTGCGTAAACAAGCATTGCGAGACCCCAAGTATGTTTTAAAAGATCTTCTGCTCGCAGCCAGGCGCGAAGAAGTAAGCAAGACGCAAGCAGCTGACATTGAAGAACATTTAGACAGCTGCAATATTCAAGCAGTTAAAATGCCGACCGCGAAAGAAACAAAACACAAGACATCCAATAAGACATGTTTTTACTGTGGTGGCAGCTACCCTCACACCAACAAACCGTGCCCTGCCAAAAACAAGACATGTGCCAATTGTGGTAAATTAAACCATTTTGCTAGCCAGTGCCGCAGTAGCAACACGCGAGAAAATAGACAAACTGGTAAACCACGCGAAGACCTACGACCAGTTAACACAGACCTCCAGGACAGCACTAGCAGCGACAATAGTGGTCCAGAATATTGTTACGCGTCAACAACAAACAAAAACACCCGCAAGCGTCAATTTCTCTCAATGGACAAAGAGTAAAAATGACCATTGATACGGGGTCAAGCATAAATGTAATCGATAAACACACGTTCCAACAACTGCGAGATATCCGACTTCAGCCAACATCCGTGAAAGCATATCCAATTCCACAACACCTGTAAAGATGGAAGGAAAATTCCGCGTTTTAGCAGAGTCGAAACACAAATTCACGGTAGCTACCATATATGTTACTTCTGACGACGGCGGTTGTTTACTTAGTTCTGAAACTGCACAAGAACTTGGACTCGTAAGTCTTCATTTAAATCAGATAAACAAGGAAACAGAACGTTCAAAAATCACACCAACAACGAGCGATAAAAACCTCGCACGCATCCTAGATAAACATGGCCCTGTGTTCCGTGACTTGGGAAACTAAAGAACAAACAAATCGAATTAGTTATCGATGAAACCGTTTCACCAGTTGCACAACCGCAGCGCCGAGCACCGTTCCATTTATACGCGGAAAAATTGAAGATGAAATACGCAGATTAGAACAGGATGACATCATTGAGAGAATACCCGAAGGAATTTCAACGGAGTGGGTTTCCCCCGTCGTCGTCGTCCCAAAGCGTGACGATAAGATTCGATTGTGCGTAGATATGCGAGTAGCAAATACAGCTATTCAGAGAACTAGACATCCCATACCCACTCTAGAAGCTGTCTCTATTGAGCTTAACGGAGCTCGGTTTTTCTCAAAACTTGACCTAACTCAAGCCT